CACACACACACACACACACACACACACACACACACACACACACACACACACACATCCAAAACGAGAAGAGAAAAACGAAAAAGCAGACGGTTTACTTCAGCTGCATGCTGGTTAAATGAAGCAGCGCTCTGCACATCTGTGTGGTTTTTTTTTTTTGTGTTTGTGTGTGTGTGTGTAAAATAAAACAACTGTATGCACTCTGTGCACAGCTGTGGGTGTGGCAGGAGCAATCCATAAATCTTTCATGTCGAAACAGCTGCAGAACAGCTGTAAATTATGCAAGATATTTGTGCAATCATGAGACTAAAAACAGAAACAGAAAGAATCCCCCCCACACACACACACTAACACACTCACATTATGCTTTAAAAACACATGTCAGATTATTCCCTCAGTATGATTTTGTAAGATTTAGTGGAAGTGAGTGTTAGTCAATTTCTCTGCAGAGGTACAGCCCCTTGCGGTAACTTCTTGGTTACTTTATCATCAGAGAAAAGAGTTTTGATATCTGGACAACAGAACGTCAGATAATTTAACTCCAGGTATTTTAAATTGAGACTTTTCTGATACGATGTGTTTTCATGTATTTCCTAATGTTCCTCAGGTGATGAGACATCCAGTGGACAAAGTCCTGAAGCAAAGATCGTAGTTCGTACTCATCATTCTGCAGTGCCTCCACACCAACAGTCACCTCCACAGGTAGGAAGAAGACAGAAGCAGAAAATGAATGTATGTTGTTGTTTTTTGACCAGTGATCAGATAAAGTTGCTTGATGATCAAACTGTTAATCCACAGTTAGTTGTAACATTAGATATTATTTTAAAACATTTATTTTAACTGTAAAATAAAATCTGTAAAGATACATTTTTACAGGCTGTTTAGTTTTTATAATTTTTAAAAATATATATTGTCACACGGATGGAGCCATTTCATTGACACCACACAGCATACTGGGTAAATGATGACTTAGACTAGGTCCTCAGTGCCGGTCTGCGAGCTATATCCACCCTGAAGGTTAATCTTGGACAATATCTGATGATCGACTCTTTTAAATTAAACCAGAGAGCGTTGACAGAGAGAAGAAGGTAGAAATGACTCGGCCTGCAACAGAAAATGTGGTTAGAGAACCTCATTGTTAGCTAGCGCTGAGCTAATACCTACCATATTTATTCAAGTATATAATACGTAAAATTTAATCCATAAAATCATCCATAAAGTTAGGGGGTAGTGTTATACTTGGATAAATATTTTTTACTTATGTATTTTAACTGAAATATCGGTTTCATTCACAAAATGCCTGAGTCTGGAAATGAGACTGCGTCGTAAAAAGCAGTTGAAACAAGCTCACCTCTGACACTCCTCCATGCTTCAGAGCGAGATAGTAACAGATCCAAGCAGGAGACATGATGTGAAAAAGTGGGGGGAGCAGTCCTGCACCTTAGTAATGAAAACGAACTAATGACATTAGCGTGTGACCGGGCCGCTCCTGGAACAACAACAAACACAGGTTCGTCTGTAATGGCTGCCGTCTACCAGTGTTCTGAAAAAGTTTGTATCCCTGAAAAAACGTTTCCCCACCAGAGGGGGCACTCACGAGTAGGAAGTAATCTGCTTTGCCCCCACAAGATGGCCTAAATCTCATGTGAAGTCTCTGACTTTTGTGTTGGCGCCTCCTGTTGGACTATGTGTAAAATGCCAGAATTCATATGATGCTGCTACAGCTGATATACTGTATATTTGTTGTCTAAATACCTTTTAGTACATACTGTATGTTGTTAAAATAAAACGAACTGTCCAATGATCATTTTACTGATATGTATAAAAACTGCAAAGGCTGAAAAATCTTGAAGTCTGTATGAAATTGGAGGTAGTTTGAGGATTAAATTTTTTATGCTTTTTAAGCTCAAAAAAAGGAAGGTCATATTATACATGAGATCATATTATACATGAATAAATACGGAATGTAAAGTTCGTCCAACACTAAAGATGTCTGAGGTGAAGATGCAATTTTAAAAATATATATCTACTGGAAGAGCCTTTTGGACCTATTCACACTGTAATGTTAACAATTGGATCAAATAGCTGATATGAGTAAAATAAATAAATAAATAAAAATAAATATGAAAATTTTCACAAGTCGGCATAACTTGACTAAAACTTTTCTGTGTGACCCAGAGCCAGAGGAAATTTAACTTTTATACTCTCGTAGAGACTCTAAGTACACAACAAAATGCATTTAACAGCTAAAAGAGTGGATTTTGAATGATATGTCCCCTTTAAAGGAGACCAATTATGGGTCCTAGAAATTTTTATGGTATGTCTGTGGGCTATCCAGACCATGATCATTCAGTTTAATGCACAAAATAATTCTCAGATAATAACATTTCCCATTTTCTAGCTCTGCCTGCTCTGACTTCTGTTCAGAAGAGCTGTTTATGTTAATGAGCTCTGTTGGTAACGCCCTCCAAAAATCTGTTGACATTAACTCCGCCCTCCAAAGCCAGCATTTACGTTAGCATGGCTAATAATAGCAGAAGTTCCGTTGTACAACATATGAGACCCAGAGGCAGAGTCGTGGTCCCAGCTTCTTTTTTATTTTCTCTCCCTCCTCTGCTCTGTGCTCACTCTGCATGCTGTTACCAGAGCAGGGAGCAGCAGCGGTCGAAATACCTCAGAAACTCGAACAAATAGGCTTTAACAAGGCTTTAATAAGCTAAACAATAGAGGCACATGAGAAAACGTGTTCATAACGAATGAAAATAAATAAATAATTAAAGTGTGTCCATGCTGGTCTCAAACCCTGGTCTCCCACTCTCTGGTCCAACACTCTACCCATTGCCCATTGGAAACTTGTTGTGAACTGTGCTGCGCATTACACAACAACCGTGACGGCTTTTTATACTGAGGAGGTGGAGCTTCACCCGGGGGTTGCTAGATAAGGTGCTGAACGCAGGTTCAGGTGGGTTGTTGTACGGCTTGTGACATCACAAAATGAGGAAGTATAAAACTTGTCATTAATATACATTAAAAATACATTTACTTACAGTAAATATGCCCCTGGGTGCATTTTTTTGGTCCTAGGACTGTATTTTTTTAAGAAGTACATACCCAAAGTTGAGTAAAAAAAAACCTTTAAAGAGTGAATTTTGCATAATAAGTCCCCTTTAATATATTTGCAGGCTTCCTGTAGGCACACAAACTGATGTGTGCAGGTTTACACTGTCAGTATAATGTCAGTTATGTAATTTTATGGCCTACTGTATGTTTTCTGCCAGGTGGCTGTCCACGGCTCGGCCCACACGATGACCTACGAACCTCTGACCGCGGTGATTCTGCTGCTCCTGACTCTGTCTCCATGGCAGCCGCAGTGACCAGGAAGAGACAGACGAGGTTGAACGACAACCACATGCTGTAAGCTGTGTGGTGACACTGAGGACTTCCAGTTTCTGAACTGAACTCCTCTGATTGTTTTTTTTTTTCTTGCTCCTGGTGGCCTGCCGGACGAGACGAGCTATGGATTTTCTACATTTCCTGGTGCACAGTTTGCCTTTTTTTATATTATCTATAACTGATGTCGTTTGCACTTAACACAGATAGGATAGATTGCACAAAATGACTATTTTTGAAGGAATGTAAATAAATATATATAAATTATATATTTATACGAAGAGTTTTCACAGGAAAGTAGCTTGATTTGTACACCAGGATTTATTTAGGACATAAAAAATAAGGATGACGGTAAAGGGATTTGTTTTTACCTGATTTGAACTGATTCATTTACACCTTTTTATTTGCTCCATGACTCCACTAAAGGCACGGCAAGAGTTTATTTATGTGACACACATAGAGCAGAACGGACCTCCTCAGGACTGCTGTAGTGCTGTAAAAATGATCCAGCTGCACAAATGATGGTTTCTGATGCGACTGTAGAACGTTTGTGTTTTTAATCAGTGCTGAGTTGAAGACTCGAGGGTCGAGGAGCCTGTCTCTGAGTGTGGACAGTTGTTTCCTAAAGTGAAGAGGTTTACACCCAGACGCTGCGTCGGGTGAGTCAGGCTGGCGCAGACGGTATCCCGTTCACCTCCCCCCACAGAAACGAGCTCTTTTGTTCTGACAAGGTGGGTGGTTTCTTTTATCTTCATGTCAGCTATGATGATGGTTGAAACTGCCCAAAAGTCACTCATAAAAAAAAATTCATCCATAACTGAGTGAATATTATGAAAGACTGAAACTGTCATAATTAGAAATAAAAGCATAAAAATACAAATGGACTAATAAATACATAAATACACTTAAAATGAACCAGTTAAATAAAAATGGAGAACTTGACCTCATGTTTTATAATTTAATTGGCCTTCATATTTATTTTTCCAGCTTAGTTCCAATAAATTATGTACTTTAGCACATAATTTACATAATAATAAATAAAAGCAGAAATATATAATGAAATAAATAA